GCCTCCTCTGCAGCTGACACTGACACCGCCGACTTCTCATGCCTACACTGTCCACGCACATTCACCTCACTCATCGGCCTGGTCGGTCACTTGCGAATCCATCGCACAGAGACTGGCGAACCAGTGCCTGGAGCACCCACCTATACCCACCAAGCTCGTCTCAACTGCCCACACTGCCCTCGCACTTTCAGGCATCGCATGGGCCTATCCGGCCACATGCGCATCCACGACGACCTGCGGTAGACAACCGCCGGTCACACCACACATTCACTCACTCCCTACCTCCTCCACTACCCCCATCACCCCACCAGAAATCAACACTCACACACCTCATGCACCCAACTGCCACCGCCCACGCAAGTGGGAAGTGTGCATCTCGACTCGGTCCCCATTCGGCGTCGGCTGCACGGGTGACTTGAGTCCGAGACTATCCCGACACGTCAAGCTTCGTGGATAGGAAGGTTGCTGATTGACGCCCGTTCTCGGTTCACGCAGTTCGTCGCGTTGTGTGTGTGTTGTGTGGAGTGGCGTACTGGTTGGCTGGGGACGGGCTGAAACAGCACCTTCCACGGCACTCTCACGAAAGTGAGAGACACGCCGTTCAACCCCCGTTGTGTGAAATCCTGGTGTTGTGTGTATGGGGGGCCAGGTCGTGCCGTGGGGCGCGCAGTCATGGTCAGTCGACCATGACAGCCACCGCGCCCATTCCCCACTCCAGTCTGCTGACCGGCTCGGACAGCAGCTGGGGTATGGGAGTGGGAAGGGAGAGTGAGGTCGACGACTCAGCGCACTTTCTCCTCACTATAAACAATCTGACGCGCTTGAAGCTATCACGGTGCGCTAAAAGCCGTGGCTTGGAAGGTTGCCAACTGACGGGGTAACTTGGACCACCTCCTTGGCTGGAGGCGGTCTGAGAGTCAGGCTGCAATGGCTCCTTTTTAATGTGGCCTTTATGGCACTCCCATCACAGTGTGGGATCCGAGCCAGGCGTTGGTGGCACGCCCAGGTGCGGCTTCGGTCGTGCCAGCCTCCAAATCTCTCTTGTGTTGGTTGAAATCCTGGTTATTTGTTGTGTGGACCAGGGGGTGTGGTGGAACGCCAAGGTGAGGATCCGCCCGAGCAATCCACCTGCGGCCTCCCTCGTCTCCGGTCTTCTAGACTATGTCTTGACACCGGCTTCGGGCGAGGGAGAGTGTAGGTAGATGCTACGCAAGTCTACCGGCACTATAAACCTCTGCGTAAGTCACCGCCCCTGCTCCCATTTCTGCTGCAACTGTGGGGCACACGGTGGACATCATCGAAACCGATGGTCGAACTGTCAATCGGTGCACCTAATTACAAGATTTTTAAATGGCTATTCCACAAACTCTACCCGTTAACAAAAGATTGTAAAACATCAGTCAATAATTCAATAGTTTCTGGACAAATTACAAGGACTGACAATCGTAGCGGATGAAATAATGGTATTCTTCGAAGTCGTCTCTCAGTTCACCTCCATACCAATGGATTTAGCAAGACAACGTACAGAGGAACGTCTGCAGTACTACGACACGGATATCCCTGCATCTGCTTTGTTAGAACTCTTAGACCTTTGTCTAGAAACGAACTTTTTATTTACACAGGAAAACTATCAACAGCTGAAGGGAACCCCTATGGGATTACCCATCTCTGGTTTTCTCGCAGAAGTCACCATGCAGAAAGTAGAGGCTATCGCCTTACCATTAGTTAACCCCAAATTACGGGTACGACGTGTTGATGACACGTTTGTCATTGTTAAAAGCAAACAACTGGAAATAATACACAATACTACTAACTCAACACTTCCAGGAATCACATTCACACTGGAGAAGGAGGCTGACAACAAACTCTCGTCTCTTTATGTCCTTGTACAGAGAAAGCTTGACGGGACATTTCACACTTCGGTTTACCGCAAGGAAACCTACGCGAAGTTCTTTTACACTACGACAGCAATCATCCGATCTCTTGCAAACGGAGTCCCGTGAACAGCCTCCTGAACCGAGCAGGAACTCGCTGCTCTGCCAACGAAACATATCAAAAAGAACTGAATTATTTGTTCAAACAGTTTTCCCAGAATGGATACCCTAGATATTTTGTACACCGATGCATGAGACGACAGGAGTTAAAAGAAAAATATAGGGAACTATATTGTGCCGATCAGGCTCCCAAAACAAAAAACTGGCGAACACTCCCGTACATTAAAAATGTGTCAGAACGAGTTGAAAGACCCCTGAGAAAGCGCCAAATACACGTGGCACATCAGTCGACGACTGCACATCGTAACCAGCTTGTACGCCCTAAGGATAGGGTTGGCCATTTAGATGAGAAGGACGTCGCCTATAAGATACCATGCAACACCTGCAATGCGGTTTACCGTGGTCAAACTGGGAAATCGGCCCCTACACGAATAAGCGAACATCAACTGGCCGTAAAAAGGCGAGACCACTTGTCCCAAGTTGCTATGCATACGCTGGAAGCTGGATATAAATTCGCCTGGGACAGGACTCGCATTGTAGGTGTCTGCTCATCTAAAAAGGGCCGTCAATCTTTAGAGGCCATCCATTCTGATAACTTATGCATCAACCTACACGTAGAAGTGGATGCTGTGTACAACAGCCTCAAGGGAAAGTGGGAAAGGCATTGGCTAATCAGAACATTACACCAGCAGGAGTGACAGGGCAAGATCGATTTAAGGCATGTTTAAAGGTTAACTGTTTTGCATACTTACTTCACGTCTGAGGACGACGTGGGGAACCAAAGTCGAAAATTCACAAGAAATTTGTTCATCTTTCCCAAAGAACTATTTTTTTCGAAAGGACATTTCTCTATGTGCAATTCACCCCAACACGGACTAGCACAGCGGCTTCTCAGGAAATTAGCACCAATCCGACACCTATTTTCGACTTGCACAATAAAAGATAGCTTCGAACTTATTGAAGAAATTAGGCAACATTTACTACAGATGTATGATATCCTTGGACGTTGTAACACTATTCACAAATGTACCACGTGATGGAACAGTTGATGTCACATGCACCCATGCGTCTGAACCCTGTCTTTCTCCCGAAATATTTCGCGACCTGTCGGAACTTTGCGCGAAAAACGTTCAATTTCTGTTCAATGGACAACTATACAGACAAATTGATTCGAAAGAAATAAGCTCTTTGGGAAACATAAACAAGTTTTATTGTAAATTTTCGATCTTGGTTCCCCAAGTTGTCTTCAGACGTGAAGTAAGTGTTCAAAACTGTCAACATTTAAACATGCCGAAAAAATCGATTTTGCCTTGTCAATCCTGCTGGTGTAATGTTCTGATTGGCTAATGCCTGTTCCACTTTTCCTTGAGGCTGTTGTACACCGTATCCAATTCATACGTTATCAAAATGGATGGCCTCTAAAAATTGACGGCCCTTTTTAGATGAGCAGACACCTACAATGCGAGTCCTGTCCCAGGCGAATTTGTGTCCAGTTTCCAACGTATGCATGGCAACTTGGGACGAGTAGTCTCGCCTATTTACGGCCAAATTGATGGAGTGGCTATGGGAAGTCCATTTGGTCCAACCTTTGCCGATATTTTTATGGGTCACTTAGAAGAAAAGTCGTCAGCTAAATTGAATGTGAAAACACTGCACAAAGGTATGTGGACGACATTTTTGCTATTGTTGATAACGAGGAAGCCGGAGACCTACTTGATGCCATGAACAGTCTCCATCCTAAGATTAAATTCACAATGGAAAAGGAGCAGCGCAACAAGCTTTCTTTCCTGGATGTGCGCATGACCTTACAGGAAGATGGTCCAACAAGGCGATCTGTTTTCCACAAGGATACGTGGAAAGATCACTAATTACACTTCGGGAACTTTGTGCCGATACAACGAAGGCGAAATATGGTTTACACTCTTTTCCAAAGCGCAACATTTGCACTATTGGAACACTGCGTGCAGGAATCTCTTGCCTCAAAACAGCCCTGCTTAAACATGGATATCCAACTAGGTTCATCGAAAAGTACAGTAATACTTTCCGGCCAAAATTGACGAGCAATCAGTTCCCAAAAAGCCCGTTGTAACATCCTTGCCCTTTAAGGACGATTGAGATGCACCACTGAAAGAACATACAACTCAGCTGAACTCATATTCTGCAGCCCCACTGAGGCTATCCAAGTTCGAAGGGGAAAGGATGCCTTGCCATTGCACGCCACGTCAAATTGTGTTTACCAATTCACATGCACTTGAGGATGCAAGTATATTGGGCGAACGCAAAGGCAATTGGCAGCCGGGTCAGTTGAGCACCTGCCTAAATGGCTTCTAAAGCAGGAGAATAAAATCCACGGTCTTCTATCACAAAGCCCATCCTAGATAGGGGTCATCTGGTTGACCCAAAAACACCTTTTTGAGTACTAGATCGGACAGGAACCCGGATACTGCGTTACTTGGAAGCAGCCTACATACGGCGGGAGAAACCGACCTTTGCAAACAGAAAGACCACGTGGTCGACCTCAGCTTGCCCTGGTAAATAGCAGCCCTTTAATCTGCACAATCCATCGGCGTGTTAACATCTCCGTTTTCTTCCCTATATTGCGTTTTCAAGTTACCATTTTATTGATTAGTCTGCGTGCAGCATACTAGGACCTTGCTGTTATATATTGACTTTCTCTGTGGAAATTCAAATCTCCGTATATTTCTCAGTTGTTATCTGTGTTATTCAGCGACAGGCTGCAGTTGATAAGCCGTCGCGAAATTTACTGGGTTCAATAAATTCTGCTGTCTAAGCTTGTTTTAAATTCATCCCCGGGAAATATTGCTTCAAGTCATTCCAGAACCCTCAGAACTGCAAACGCACTTTGCACTGTTAAA